GAAGGAAATCATACCCTGATCACATCCCATTTCTCAGTCCTTCTAAATATATATATATATTTAGATATTTATATATATTTATATATTTAATTTAATCTAAATAATATTTAGATTTTATATATATATATATAAAACAACTGTACCCTCTTTGCAGACAAAGCTAAAGTTCCAAACAGAAAAGTGCAAGCAATATTGGCGGTACATAAACATGTATTTTACCCAGTGTGTGAAGTAACTATACTACAGTTTGGTTCAAACTACTTGGTATAGCTCACTATCAATGGGAAACTTAGAGAGGGATCACTGTTTTTCCCAGATCTTAAAAAACACATTCTAGTGAGTTTTGTAATTAGGACGGGATACATGGCGTTTTTAAGGTCTTTGATCCATGTTGTTCAGCTCCATAATCAAGAAAAACTTAGACTTGGTTTATTAGTCTGGGCTATGATGATATATGCAGGAAAGGCATTTTATCAACCCGTTTTAAAATAGACATTTAAATAGAGCAAGACAACTTTGTATTGTCATCAATGACAAGACCCATTAAAGTTCAGTATTTAGGTCAAGTTTCCCAACACCTGGGAGTCCGAGTCGGCTGCAGTCAAAAAGAGGTAGGAGGAGCAGCAGGTCAGACCTGAGCCTGAGGAGATGCTTGGTAACAAGAACACTGCCTCTGGGGATGGTGTTCAAATTGTTGTTAACTCAGAAACTTGGCTTTTCAGCCTTTGTACCACTTCAAAGATGCCACCAAAAATTTCAACTACTGAGATGGTACAAATGTGTTGAAAACCACTGTCCTTGAGGTTTCTCCTTCGTCCTCTCCTGTGCATACTTGGCCCAACCAAATCCCTCTCTCTGACTTCACCAACAGCCTCCTAATGGTCAAAGTGCCCATTGGCTTCTTCTCAGTGATACTCAGCACCATATGCATTTTCTTTCTCAAAGCTCTGCCTAAAACCTCAGAGTTTCCTCAGAGTATTTCTCACTCTCCTGTCCTTGGACTTTCACTTTTCTTCTTCTATCAGGCTTTTTTCCAGCCTCACTTGAGTCTCAGGGCAATCACACTTTTTGCCCTGTGATTTTGATCAGACCTGTATGCAACTGTCTTCCATGTCTGCCTGAGTGGCATCCTAACGTTCAACGTAGGACTTTGTCTGCTGGACATCAACACATGTGGGTGACAGTGTCTGAAGTTGCTCAGGGGAAACTGAATTTGTTTCCTCCCTCACAAGACTTTCTACTTCCTTATTTCCATGAACAGCAGCATCTTCACCCACGCAAATGAAAAAATGGCACTTGTCTCTGGTTGGTCCGTCTCCCCTTTAAATTTTGACTTTTTTCTTCTCAGGTATATATGCAAATATTGTTTCAAGACATGTCTTTTAGTTCTGAGATATTTTCTTGAATTTCTTTAGTACTGTCTCCCTCTTTCTGGAACTTCCATTACCCAGTTGTTGAAACTTAAGGACCTCAAGTTTTCTTAACAGTTTTGTTTTCCATTTTCTTTGTTGTGTTGCTATACTTTCTAGATTTCCTCAAATTAATTTAACTACATTTCTGTTGAGTTTGTCATTTCTGCTATCATATTAAACATTTTTTAATTTATTCTGAGAGAGAGTAAGTGGGGAGTGGCAGAGAGAGAGGGAGAGAATCCCAGCAGGCTCCATGCTGTCAGCACAGAGCCTGATGCAGGGCTTGAACCCATGAACTGTAATATGACCTGAACTGAAATCAAGAATCAGGAGCTTAAGCAACTGGGCCACCCAGGCACCCCTCATTTCTATCATTATTATTCATTTGTATGAAAAAATTTTCTAATGTAGTATCTTTTTATAACCATTTATCTCTGAGGGTATTCACAGACTAACTTCCTCCTGGCTTAATCTGTCTAGTTTGTTTTGGCCTCTCTTACACATTAGAGACTTTGCCCAAATGCCTGATGATCCTTGGCTGTTCACTCATACTTGAGAGTTGGACATTTAAATGCCCATCAGAAGGTCTATGCATATGGATGAGGTTTGTGACTGTGGGCTTCAGAGGGTGACTTGATAAGAAATTTCTTTGGGGAACCATCCAATACAGCTTTAGATCTTTTTATTGGGTTGATCAGGAAAGTGACATCTGGTCTCCTGGGGGAGAAGGCTGGGGACCACAGTGGTTCTCAACATGCAGTATGTGTCCACTTAATCCATTTTCAGGGTGACATGCCTATCCTCAGCTGTGCTTGGCATTCCCTAGTCCAAAGACCCTGTTTCACTCTCTCTGGGAAATAAGGCCCTTATATACATGAGTCAGACAGAGCACAATGGTTTAGCGACACAAAATTGGGCAGAGAATCTAGAGGTAATTCTCAAATAGACTTTCGATCGACCATCCCTTGGTACACAGTGTAGTGCTTGATACTCCTGTCTTCAGGGGGATGTACCCGGTAATCAGGATGTCAACTTTCTCCATTGTAGCCAAGAATTTGGTTTCTTTAGGTTTGCTGAGTCAGTCCTTGTATCTCATTGCCTTTACTCTTGTAGTGGGTCTCTGGAAGGAGAGAGCTGGAAGCAGGCATTCAGCCAGCACTTGCTGCCTCATTTCCATTTCCACTGCCCTTGACTCCAGGGGGACTCCCGCAGGACTTTCTAATCTTGCTGCCTGTCTGGCCAGCTACTATATTGCTATGGAAGTCACTTTTTTTTTTTTTCAAACACACCAGTCATTTACTCAAAAACCTCATTAGCTATCCATTGCCTATAAAACAGTCAAAACTCCTTAGCATAGCCCCGAAGGTCCTGGATGATCTGACCCCAATATCTCTTTCAAGCATGAGATCATGGAGAACAGCATGAGAGGATGTTGGAACCAAACTGCCTCAATCCATTCTCTGAGCTCTGCCACTTTACTAGTTGGGTAATCTTGGCCAAGTTACTTCAGCTCATCAGCAACACAGGGATTATAATAGTACCTTGCCCTTCAACATAATGGCGAGGATTATTAGAGCCCTTAAAATAGTGGCTGGCATACAGGAAGTGCCATGGGTTAAATATAAGCCTCTGCGCACCTGTCTCCTCCCGGAGATTATCAAGTCCTTGGAGAGGGCTCTATCCCATTCTGTCAGTGTTTGTGGGTCATTATAATGGCACAGACATGATGCTATCCACAAGGGACTCTGTAAAAAGAGCTCAGCAAATGAGACTAAGGATTAACATATAATGGGACAAATCCTACAATACAGGAAAGAGCACAGTAAAGAGGATATGAAGCATTTTGAGATCTAATGGTTCAGAACAGGAGGGGAAGGCTTCACAGCCCTGACATTTAAGATGGGGCTTGATGAACGAATATATACGATGAAAGGTTGTGCTACTAAGACAGTGGGTGGGGGGAGACCTGACAGGTGAGGCTGGAGAGGCAGGTTGGGGCCAGTTGCACAAGGGCCTGCATAACCTGTTTTGAGTCTGTACTTTGTTTCAACTAGTTTGTCAATTTCACCATCCTAGCATGCTGGGAATGCCAAGATTATTTTGGTGTTAAAAGTATTTTGTTACTAATAATAGCTGAAAGGCGATTCATTGGCAATTATTTAAAAAACAAATTTGAACACCTTCCCAAATAATGTTCAAGAAGCCAGACATAGAACAACACATACTTTATGATTCCATTTATATAAAAGACAAAACTGTCCAAATTAGTCTATGTTGTCCCAATTAGGGATGGTTTTACAAGTGGATAGTGACCAGAAGGGGATTTTGTGCTTACTTGGATACGCATATGTGTTCACTTGAAGAAGAGGCGGAGCTACAGGCTGGGAACTCACCATGCAATTATCACTAGTCTGGTGTTCTTTTATGGACTAACTCAGAAGAGCTACTGGATACTCTGAACGGCCAAGGATAGCCAACATCAGTCACCTTGACCACTAATAAAACTTCACAAGTGTGTGGCAAATTGACTTACACCCAGAGGTCAGAGACTGAAATACCAACACTTAGCATACGTATAAGATGGCCTTTTACCTCATTTTAGATCTAACAAGGGGCTGATGGTTCCTTATTAACTCTATAGAGAAACAAAGGTAGCTCAAAACCACAACAGTGTAAGCATGACTTTTAAGGCATTCAACATGTATGTACCCTTAGGAGCATAAAGATTTTGGTTTGTTTTCTTGCTTTCTTAAAAAAAAGTTACTTTCACTAAAAAACCCACAAACACAAAAACAAACCTATGTACCCAGTTAAAAACAAATAAAGAGTAAAAAAAGATAAACAATGAGAAGTCAAATCTCCTTTAGATCGGTTTCGCACAGCAACCAGTTAGGACTCTCTTACATATTCTTTTTTTAAAAAAATTTTTAATGTTTTATTTATTTTTGAGAGAGAGGCAGCATGAGCAGGGGAGGGGCAGAGAGCGAGGGAGACATAGAATCCGAAGTAGGCTCATCAGCACAGAGCCCAATGCGGGGCTCGAACCCACGAGTCGTGAGCCGAAGTTGGACGCTTCACCGACTGAGCCAACCAGGCACCCCAGGACTCTCTTATATATTCTTATATAAATATTTCATAAACACACAAAAGCATATATAAATGTATAAGTGTATTACTTCTATAGGCTTCTTTTCTTAAACAGATGGGAGCCCCATATATTCACTTGATTTTTCCTGCAGATACTTCATCTCTGTTAACATGGATACAGCCCACTCTGCACAAGTATAAAGTATTCTGTAGAGTATATATATTAATTAGCCAGGTATTTCTGCTTTTTTCTTTACAAACAATGGGCATTGAACATCTCTGAATATACACTCTTTAATGTGCTTCTTAAATTATGTAAAAACTGCCCTAATGTATACCAATGGTTAGCAAACTTTTTGACCTCTGCATTTCTTTCCTCTTTTTAAAAATTTATTTATTTTGAGAGAGAGGGTGAAAGCAGGGTAGGGGCAGAGAGAGAGGGAGAGAATCCTAAGCAGGCTCCACAAAGACAGCATGGGGCCCGAAATGTGGCTCAAATCCATGAACCATGAGATCATGACCTGGGGTGAAACCAAGTCAGATGCTTAACCGACTGAGCCACCTTGGCACCCCTTGACCTCTGCATTCTATCTGATTAACATTAGCATCTCACTGCTGTCTCACTTAGCAATCCTCTATTTAGTCTCACTGATCTTTCCATTTCCACCTGAATTAGTACTAAGCCTGAGATGGGGCTCGATCTCATGACTGTGAGATCATGATCTGAGCTGAAATCGAGTTGGACGCTTAGCCAACTGAGGCACCCAGGTGCACCTCACAACAATTTTAAATAGGAATATTATCTAGTGATCGAAAAATCTGTTTTAAAGAGATTTCATTTTCACAGAACAGACTACAGACCTACACATACACAGAGATAATCACTGAGATTGTAAGGTTTTATACATCACATTACATGTAAATACCTCGGAGGGAAATGGTAAATAATACTGGATTAAATAGTGTCAATTCCAAAAGTCACATCTACTCAGAACCTGTGGGTGTGACCTTATTTGGAAAAAGGGTCTTTGCTGATGTAGTAAGTTAATATGAGCTCATACTAGATGACAGGGGACCCTAATCCAATGACTGGTGTCCTTATAAGAGGGAGACTGGTACAGACACATAGAAGGCAAACCTCATGTGACAACAGGGGAAGAGACTGGAGGGACACAGTTCCAGGCTGAAGAACACCATGGACCGCCATTAATCGCCAGAAGACAGGAAGGGGCGTGGAAGGCTTCCCTAGAGCTTTGAGGGAAAGCATGGCCCTGTTGAGTCCTTGATAATGGACTTCTGGTCTCTAGAACTATATGAGAGAATAGATTTCTGTCGTTTGGACCACCAAGTTTTGTGGCACTTTGTTACAGCAGCCCTAGCAAACTAACAGAATAACCATCCCAAATTCAAACCCTGTAAATTTCAAGTGATGTACAACTGTAGCAGGTAACTTGTCATCTGATGTATATTTGTCAGTCACTAGGTTACTTCGAAAGGTCAAAAAGAACAGGCTTGATGTAGAGAATGCCTGTGAGGGTGTTTTGTTTGTTTGTTGTTTTTTTACTATCCTCTCATTAAGGCACAATTTATATTAAGGAGAAACAGCTCCTGGAAATAAAATGCTACCGTTTTAGAAAGCGTTCAAACTCTCATTATATATTGTCTCTGTACCTTTTAACAACTTTAAAAGTGCTGTGGGATTATATGGGAAAAGATTTTTCTTCTGCAAGCGGTCAATGGCACCTTGCAGCTCTTCAAAGCACTTCAGTGTTCTGTAACACATGCCCACTTCACAGACGTTATTTGGGGCTGTATCACAATCAATGGAGAAGGGAGTATTAGATTGTTTGGGAACCAGAGGTTTTGACTCAGGCTCCAGGCTCAGTTCTGTTTTATTCCCACTTGTTCCAACAGTGTCCTGAAATTTCTTCATTGCTTCTTGGTGTAAAGATACTTCTTTACTGTTTGCTGAATGCTGGTCTGTGTCTTCTACCTCAGAATCCTCAGAGCTCTCATAATCTACCAGACTTCGAGAAGCTTGTGGGGGAGGTGGGCTATCAGCTTGGAGCATAGCCACGGTCTCCTTGGACATCACAAGCTGGTTCAGAGGTTTGGAAGAGGCATCGGAAGCCCAGGAGGTGGAAGCACGAGCATTTCTGTGACTACCAAGAGCAGCCGAAGGGCTCAGTTCTGCCTGCCTGCTGCTTCTGTCCTGGACAAGTGAGGGGCTACACACATAAATATTTATGTTTTCTTTAGATTCGGTTACATCAAAATACTTGCAGATCGTGAAAAAGTTAGTCCAGTCTTTCTGTAGTAATTTTAAATATCTAACAAAATACTCAAGGAAACAGGTTTCCGAAGAAATCAAAAAGTCAAGAAGAACTGAAGGATCAAATCCTGTATTTTTCAGTAATAATAAGAAAACACAGTGTGGGTTATAGCCATATTCATGTGTGTGATGGCTCCACATTTCTTTTTCTTGGGTCAAGCTTTCAGTAGCTTTACATTCTCTGAAAATATAGGTAATGGAGACCTCAGATTAATGGCTTTTTACAAAAATAAGTTTTAACAGATATAATTCACACACCACAAATTTGCCCATCAGATTATCTCTTAATCTAGGCATAATCTTAAAAGAAAAAAAACAAAACAATCTCTTCCTCTACAAACTCTAAATAATAACCCAACTCGACAAAATGAATAAAATCCAGGGACATTGGTAGTACTAGTCATTGTCTGCCAAACAAAGTCCTCTCTTTCTCTTTTCTTTAAAATTTTTTTTAATGTTTTATTTACTTCTGAGAGAGAGACAGTGTGAGCAGGGGAGGGTCAGAGAGAGAGGGAGACACAGAATCTGAAACAGGCTCCAGGCTCTGAGCTAGCTGTCAGCACAGAGCTCGACATAGGGCTCGAACCCACAAACTGTGAGATCAGGACCTAAGCTGAAGCCAGAAGCTTAACTGACTGAGCCACCCAGGGGTCCATATCTTCCTGTCTCTTGACATCAGAGTTCCTCATGCCTACCGGTAACTACTTGCATGGAGTAAGGCAGGGGCTGGAGACTGACCTCCTTCCTTTCCTTCCAGGCTCTCCTCAATAGGGGTGGGTACGTGACCTAGACCACCAGCAGAGTGCCTCATGCTCCTGGCTACAGTGACTGCTTCCTTACATGAATCTGTGCCCCATGCAGGATAATCAGATCACCCTTCCCCACACTGGGACTTTTGCTAGAGCCATTAAAGATGTTAACTGTAAGGCTGGTATAAGCCGGACTGCTGGCAGCCCTGCCCAAGAATGAACGCAGAGAAAAAGAGCAATGATCAATGACGTGATTGAATCCCCGTATACACAGTGATGTCTGATGCCAACATGACCCCTTGGAATTTCTGAGCTAATAAATTCCTTTTCTTTTTGCTTAGACCAGTTTCTGTTTTTGTGTTGGTCCTTTTACAGCCAAACAATCTTAACTAATACAAAGACATTAGGAAAACTACATAGGCCATGAGCACATGCCTCTCCGGACATTACTGAAGAAAGTTAGAAATTTAATTCAGAGGTTTCCTCTTTCCTCAGGAGGAAGAAGTCAGCTTTGAGTACAACTAAGATCTACTCTAATAGGCATGTGCATTTTCAGACTGAATTTGTGTCTCACCGTTTTGGAGCCTAACTCAAATCACATGCAGGAATTCTGTGTTCTTGATTAGAACCTTTTGAAAACTGGCCCCAAACACTTACAGTCTGAAGGCAGCCACCGCCAGCGGTGCCATAATGCACGTCAGAACTGGCGGCAGAACACGGCACCGCTGGTCATTAGTAAGAAATCCCTTTCTCTGAAGCCAAGAAAGAAATGGAAATAAAGCAAATACTTTAGGGCTTTAATAAAGTGGAGCAGAAATAGTGTAAAAGGTCATCAGTTATTAACTTCATAACCAATTACAGATATTTGCCACAGGATGACATGACCCATGTAGAGCTGCTCAAACAAAGCAGGAACACCAGCAGCCTAGCCTGTCCTCAGGAACCAACCTTCGTGACCAATTTCAGACATCTGCGTCGAGCTGGTATCAGCCCCAGGTCCGCAGTATACGGAAATGAAAAATTCTGAGCTGCTGTTGTGGTTACTTACAGGTCTGTACTTAGGTTTAAAAAGGTGAAGGTCATAGAACTTTCTCCTTATGGGAAAGTTCATCTTGGGGGCGAAAAGCGTTTTTGATTAAATTAAGGTTCGGACAATGGCACTGACTTACTCCTGATCGCACAGGTGAAACTGAGGAAGCTTAACCAGAACCTGTGTTTTCCAGGACCCTGGGCTGGTTCTACTACTCTAGCTCTGCCTATCCGGCCAAGTTTTCATAATGAGAACTCAAATGTAATCTCATTTTCATGCAGGGCAGGGTTAAAGAAAGGAATTGGAACTTATAAGGAAACCACAAGATTGTTAGGGTTTTTTTTCCCCCCTTAATGATGGAAAGTAAACAGTATGTCCAGCACATTATTAAAAATGTTTTCTACTTTCCTGGCATGTAGTTACTACAATTACTTTAAAATATACTAACCCGATCAACTTTAGGTAGATGCCCAACGATGCTCTGGCAGCCTCCAGCATGTCGTCATCTTGTTCTATGAAGACCCTGGAGATCCACTCACATGGATTGTGTGGGTGAAGGGAGGGCTGAAGGTGAGGCTTTAAGAAGGTCAGTAAGTCAGCCATGAAATTCTGTAAATCAACTTCAAAAAAATGCAAATTTCAGAGTAGGCAACAGCTTAAGAATGCATTTGTATCTTGCTTACATATAAAATTATAACATTTCACGTATTCCAGCATGCATGATCATCAAAATTCACATTTTTCAAAATTCCTGTGAGGGATGATCTCTCTTTTGCAAATTAGGAAACTGAACATCAGAGGAAAAAAAGTGATTCATTCAAGAAGACACAATTAAAATGTACAACCAGATCATTTGCTTGCTGCAAGAGCCAAATAATGGATTCTCTCTGAGAAGCAAGAGTTACGTGAACTCTTGCTAAAAACATATAAATGAAGGAGCAGTAGACAAAAGGAACCACTTCACTGGAAGCCACATCTGTTACTAGAGGCAATAATGCAACCAAGCAAAAATCACTTTGCCTTCAAAATAACAGGAAAAAATGTTTAAATGTTTAAAGTATTAAAAGAAAGACTACTATTAAGCACAGAAACCAAAAAAGTTTTAGAGTTGTAACTGCAATTTAACTCTGAATTGTAGAACATATGCCACCTAGTGTTGTAAATTATAACTGCACAGAATGATATCTAATTACAAGGTAAATGGTATCCATTCAAAGCAATACAGGAAAGTCACTGCTTACAATTCAAACCTTTCACTAAAACTGTATGCTACTTGTTTAGAGACGTCTACTATTCTTTTTTATCACATGAAATGGAGGACATGTCTTCCCTAAATTAAATATTCTACATAAGCAGAAGTCTTTGGGCTGAGTTAAGATCCTGAATATTATATGCAACAATTTCTTAATCAATGTAACTCCTCACATGTTAGTTTTAACTCATTTCTTAGTTATCAATAATCTACACTAGTAGTTACCCCAATTTTATGAACCAAAATATGAATCATATCTGAATTGAACAGATTTACATCATCTGCCTTGAAATGACTCAACAACAACTTTTTGTTTTTAACCTTCGTCATTGATTATGCTATACAAATTCAGTTTAGTCCACAAAACGTTGACATGTTTCTTCCTTTTTAAAGTTTATTTATTTTGAGAGAGAGAGAGAGAGGCAGAGAGAGAGAGACAGAGGGAGAAAGAACCACAAGCAGGCTCTGCACTGTCAGTGTGGGGCTCAAACTCATGAATTGTGAGTTCATGACCTGAGTGGAGGTTGTATGCTTAACCAACTGAGCCACCCGGGTGCCCCAAAGGTGACGTTTCTTAAGGGAATTCTAATTCTTCTTTTTTTAAAGAAAATTTAATAAATTATAACTATGATAACATGTAGATTAAATTAGTGGAGTTACAGTCCTGAGATTTGATTAATTATGAATTCTTTTATATCACTAAACAATTACTCATTACTTTCCACACCAAAGGAGTTCAGAAAATTACCTTTCATTTCATTTGCTGAAGCACAGCCTTGAAACTTGATTTCTAAGGATTTAATGATAAGTAGGCTTGCTGCTCTGAGGATTACATGATCTGGACCAGGGACTCGCTCATGTGCTGGTTGAACTTCATCTCCACCGAAGCAGGGAGGTTTTCCACGGACAGACAAGGTCCTCAATAAGCCCAAATTCACAGCGTGCAATACTGCATCAGCTACGGCCAACATGTCTACATCAAAATGCTGATCTGGTGGCACGAGAGCAGGGCCAGACCCCCGACACAGATCTTCACCCACTTTCCAGAGAAGGCACTTTTTGATGAATACGATGAACTTCCTTTTGACAAAAGCCTGAACAGGCCAGGTGATAACAGCCAGCACATGAGAAGGTTTCAAAAAGAAAATCCTCTGGCAAGTGAAATGTAGCTTCAGATGGATTCTGGAAGCTGTAAGAAGTTCGAGCAATTCCAGGGAACCTATCAAGCTGTTTATTATTTTTGAGGTATCTTGGCAGCTTTCAAAATGCTGAGAAAATAAGGAATTGTAAAAAACTTCAAAAGCAGTGTCAAAAGGAGTCAGGAACTGCTTTAAAATTTCTGCAATGATAAAAACAGTGATATAAACAACCAGAAAACAAAGGCTTCTTAAAACACAATTTACAATTCAATTTTTTTTTAATGTTTATTTATTTCTGAGAGAGAGACAGCGTGAGCAGGGGAGGGTCAGAGAGAAAGGGAGATACAGAATCTGAAACAGGCTCCAGGCTCTGAGCTGGCTGTCAGCATAGAGCCTGATGCAGGGCTTGAACCCATGGACTGTGGGATTATGACCTGAGCCGAAGTTGGAAGCTTAACTGACTGAGCCACCCAAGTGCCCCTACAATTCAGTTTTTATAAACATTATCACTTTACAAGATGAAAAAATGGATTTGGATTATTTCGCTCATGTGAACAAGTGAAGATATACAAGATAATAGCTAATAAGAAAAGGAGGTCTTTATATACAATGGAATACTACCCAGCCATCAAAAAGAAATCTTGCTATTTGCATTGACGTGGATGGGCCTAGAGTGAATTACGCTAAGCAAAATAAGTCAGTGAGACAAATACCACAGGACTGCACTCATATGTGGAATTCAAGAAACAGGACAGATGAACACAGGGGAAAAAAAGGAAAGGGAGGCAAACCAAAACACAGACTTAACTATAGAGAACAAACTGAGGGTCGTTGGGAGGGAGGTGGCCAGAAGAAGGATTAAATGGATGATGGACATTAAGAACGACACTTGCTGGGAAGGGCACTGGGTGTTGTGCGTAAGTGATGAATCCCTGAATTCTACTCCTGAAGCCAATATTACACTATTTGTTGACCAACTGGAATTTAAATAAAAACTTGAAACTAACAAACAAAAGAATAACAGTTAATAACAATGGTTAATTATCCTTTTTATAAATATCAACAGAATCGGATTATGAAAGGGATATAAAATAAAGAAGTTTAATTTTTGTCTTAAGATGTTTTATTTTAAAAAGGTATCTTCAATCAAAAAATATGGAGGGAGAGTCTTTAGTTTTTCATACATGAGGACAGATCAGATGCTATAAAGGAAGTTTTAATCTTCATTGTAAACATCACGCACGCCCCTTGGGAGCAAAAGAATGGCATTTATGGGAGACCATAATTTGTACCTGCTTTTTGTGAATGTGTGTCTTTAAAGACTTCTTTTAGTATAAAAGTAAGGGTCCAAAGGCAGTGCACTGCTTTCTCATTTTCAGGGTATTCAGAAAGATTTGTTTGACAAAAAGCAATCCAGGAATTACTTAATGCTATCTGTAAGTGAGAAAACAAAAAGTAGTTAAGTTATAATATAAAATTTTCTTTATAATTACAAATTATCTACTATATATAATACAACGCCATATAACATTTCTTACTCCCTTGCAAAAACAACAACAAACCCCACACTATCTGAAAAACAAGGACACAAATATCCTAATATTCTTTAAGTAAAAACATTCAGTATGCCATAGAAATAAAAGTTCAACAGGGAACATGAAAATATTAGCAGTGATTACTTCTAGGTGGTAGAACAACATGTGGTTAATGTGTGGTTTTTATTTTGTTCTTTTTTTTTTTTAATGTTCCATTTATTTCTGAGAGAGAGAGACAGACAGTGTGAGCAGGGAACGGTCAGAGAGAGAGGAAGATACAGAATCTGAAGCAGGCTCCAGGCTCTGAGCTAGCTGTCAGCACAGAGCCGGACACGGGGCTCGAACCCACGAACCATGAGGTCATGACCTGAGCTGAAGTCAGACGTTTAACCGACTGAGCCACCCAGGCGCCCCTTATTTTGTTCTTTATACTTTCCCTCACTTTCCAGATTTTCTACTACAAATATCACCTTTATGTATTTAGGGGAAAAAAATGTTACTTTGAGAAAGGAACAAGGAATTATAGCTGAAATAAATTGGTAGGTACTTATATTTATTAATGAATTCAGAGAAGAAAAATCTGATGCTCAGTTTTTTTTGTATTATTTTTTAAAATATTATGCTGAGGATCATTCTTAGAATTTATTTATATTAAACCTATGAAAATGGTCTTGGTCTTCAGTAGGGGCTCCTAGATCTTTTTTTGGAGAAAAGGAACCAGGCCTGCCCACTCCTCTGGGAGGCTGAAGAAAGTTATGGACTGACTTGAAACCCATCCTTCAGGTGAAGAATCTGATTTATAATGATTTACAACATATCTAAGACTCTAATCTTTGATACAAGTCACTATTAGATTACTCCATTCTTACACTTTTGTGGACTTAAATGCTCTTATATGAGCAAACATTTTATTGGTACAAACATCTGAAGGGGAAAACTGAATGTCTAAGATCGATTTTAAAGAAACTATAAAAGAAATAACATAATTTGATTACTTATCTTACCTCTTCTCTCACTTGGAAATACAGAAGCAGTGCAAGGCACTTTGCAGCCACGTGACATAACAATTTATCCGAGTTTTGGAACATACAGGTCTATAGGAAAACAAGTAAGTTTATCCATGATTGCCAAATGTTGTTAAAATGTTTGTCCTAAAAATATGCATCTAAAGAAAAAAAAATCCACAAAAAACAAATGGCTTACTAATGTAGAATCGATGGATGATTCTAAAAGAATTTTAATTATATCTCTGTATTTTTCCTTTGCGTGGAAGTCAGTTTCAACAGACAATATTCTGGTTATCATCACTTTGATTACGGTTAACTGAAGGAGCTTTATTTCCCGGGCGCTGCACATCACAGAGTGTCTCTTCAAACACACAGATGCTACAGAAATGGTAGCCAACTTGGCACTGAGTGGCTGGTGCCTGCCTTGGACACCACGGCAGTGGTGGCATTCTGAAGAAGGGGTTGTAGAGCAATCTTGATCTAAAAATGCTGGGTTGAGATAAAAGATGTAATCGTGGCTCTCATTTTCAAGTGTGGCTCCCAGAAGTACCTTCTTGTATAACTGTTCTAACACCTCAAAGAAAGCTTTCATTTTGACTGTCAGAATAGATCTCATGAGAAAGCTGACAACTCCAAACTGTAAATAGTAATGTTAGAAATGCGATGAATCTCTAAGAGGTTTCTTCAGTAAAACCTAAAATAGGAAAAAATAATTGTAAAATTACAAGTGTGATATACATCGTAGTACAAAGGAAAGGCATCTGTTTCCACTTAATCAGTAGTGAAGTTAAAGGTAAGATCGACTGCTTAATTTCTGAAATGGAAAACTGGTAATAAGACTAGTTTTAAGACCATAAAAACGAAACACATGCTTTCCGTAAGATTTAAGGCCATAAAATTATTTTTAATTTGATCAGAGCAGAAACGTCACCTTCCCTGTAACATTTTTCATTGGTCCATGAGGACTTTGCAACCTTGGCAGTGACACTCGGGACAGGATAACTTTGTTATGGGGAAGCTGGCCTGGGCCTTGTAGGCGGCATAGCAGCATTCTTGGCCTCTATCCACTAGATGCCTCTAGCGCCCACTCAGGCTGAGACCCACAGGGCCACCTCCAATTCATTAACCTTCATCTCAGGGGTACCGTGGTGGCTCAGTTGGTTATGCGTCCAACTCCTGATCTTAGCTCAGATCATGATCCCACGGATCATGGGACTGGGCCCTGCATCGGGCTCTGTGACGACAGTGTGGAGCTTACTTGGGATACTCTCTCAAAAAATAAATAAATAAACTAAGAAAAAAAACCCTTCACCTTCAATGTATAGATGAAAACCTAGTTAGACAATTATGTGGTCAAACTACTGTGGTTATGAGGATTAATTCCCAACTTCAAATTAAGTCACCACTTTCAACGTTAAATAAAAAATTTAAAAATGCCATCCCAAGAAAAACATAAGATGTTAATAAGCAAACGTAATCCAAACGGGAGCACACTGTACTTGTAGCTGCAAACAACTTTAGACATTTGGGTGTCCCCGACTCTGACACAATAGAGACTACCAGCAAGAGTGGCGAGAAGGAGTCAGGTATGGTTTATAAAGCAGAGAATATGGACAATCACCACTAGATGAATAGAAGAGAAAATATTATGAGTGTAACAGGAGTATTAATGTAGTTACTAAAGAGTAAGTAGTGGTGAGGAAAAATTCTTGGCAGAAGCTAGAGATTACTGAACATCCTTTCAAATGGAATGCTGAGCCTCAGGGAATTATCTGATCCTCTGGGACTCAGTCCTTTCAGAGCCTTTGAGCTATTTCACACCTTCATAAACTGCAGATTACTGATAGCAATGCAAATAATTGTTGTCTATCAACATGCAAATACAAGACTCTACTGTATGTTAACTAACTTGAGAGGAATGGCAGGAAAAAAAAAAGAATTAAAAAAAAAACCCGACACTAAAATGGGGGGGGGGGGTTGTGGAAAACCCAAACACACAAATAATTATCTGGTGGAGGGACAACCCTCCCCTCAATGGGAAAAGCCAATTTTGCTTTCTATTTGTAAACCGATTTCTACATTCCTTACTCCATAGAAAGTAACCTGGCTCTTTAACTTTTCCGGCTTAAATGGTTCTGACATTTCCCTAGCTCTTTCATTAGTTAAGGAGTTAAATACAATCGCCAATAAAGCTCATTGTGTACTGGTGATGATTTTTGTTGTAGGAAGATCTATCCTTTAATAAACTCCAGGGACCTGGCTCATCTACTCCAGCCCATTTATAAACGCCCTGCCCATCTTTAATCCCAGTCCTCCCTGGAGGAAACCTAGGAGGCAAGTCCCTTACATTGGGTCGGTCTCACTCCTACAGAGTGGCCTGCTGACCTGGTCCTGCCTGGTCATTAAACCTCCCTTCACTATTGGTTTCTTCCCCTTGCTTAGCTGCTAAGGCATTTCAATTCCTGATTCCGACCCCCTCCTCCACCAACATGAAACTGCCTTGTTTTTGTCCTGTAAGTATTAAGAAACCTACAGATTTTAATGTGAAGTTATGAATGAAACTCAAAAGTTTCTCTGAATCCTCTTTTCAAACTGTGGCATACATCCCACATCATTTGGAAACATAAGTAATGATCGGTAACCTTGTTCTGACAAAGTTCAATGTTATCTGTTACCCTGAACACCGTGCTCCCAGGAAGCAAAAATGGTTAATGTTCCAGGAAAGTGCTCACCACGTTCCCAGACTGGACTCACCTCTTTGTTTCTTCATTGACTCCCTTGTTTCGTAAAAACTCACATTTTCCCCTTCTTCTATGAAACGTATTCCATTAATGAACATTCTCCCTTCTGCAATAGCCTGCATAAAATTTTCTTCTTAATTCTCTGGTGAGTTCTGTCTGCCACAAATCAGATACTGGTCTTCATATTCTAGTTCAAAGTCCATTTCCATTGTACTTACTTTACTTTATATTATAGTTATGATAGTAACATTTCTTTCCAATAAAACCAAAGACATCTTTTACTGAAGTTGACACAAACTACTGGCATTTTTGTATGTCAAATATCCTATGATAATGGAATATTTCAGGTTTTAACTAATGGCACATATGTGAGTGTATTCTTATAATTTTTAGCCACAAAAGAAATTATTTTTCTTTCAATGCTACAGCAGTAAAATCACTTCCGGTAATATTTCTATAAATCTTAAGTCCTTAAGTTTTTACCATGAATGAGAATAACATTGCTGCTATTCAACCATTTTTGACCTATGAAAAGTTCTATTTCGGCATTCAAAACCGAAGTGGATACCAGTAAATGAATAAACAGATAAATAAACAAACAAAAGAGCAAGTGAGCATTTGGGGCAGGGGGAATATAGGCTATTTTCTGTCTTGGTGGGACCTAGGTTCTCTGATACGCGTGGTTGTGAGAAACCACACTGAAAAGTTATAAACTTTCAATCAAGAAGAAACAGATTCAAAACGACTCTACAGAAAGAGGAAACAACAAAGGTACCAATGGGGGCCCACACATGTCAGGCAGGTGAAGGGGGCTTGGGACAGGCTGACAGGCTGCCTGAGAGGTGCCGCTTTGGCATATTGATTATTTCAAATAAAAGTTACTTAAGAGATGGCCTGTCAAGAACACTCCGGCCCTCCTCCACTGACTCCCCCCCTCCCCTCACCAAAGCAGGAAATAAACCTCCCCTGTGAGAGGTATCCTCCCTGTATTGGGAGGGAAAGAAGTCCGTATCTCCAGAGGTAGGGAATTTAGAGCCAAGAGGGGCTGTATAAACAACCCTTGTGACTTTTTACTAATTTACTACCCCCCAAATTCTCTTTAGAATTCCTTACTAATAAAGCTCCCGATGTTTTCTCTGTCCTCTCAACTCCTTATAGGTTTATTGGCTCGTTGTCTAAAAACTATAAAAACTGCCTATCTTGGTCATTTCTTTAGGTGACCGGGTCATTACTGGGCCTCTGTGCACACGTGATAAAACTTTTTTTCTCCTAAAATCCGTCTCATGTAAACTTAGTCCCCTGGAAGGCCTTGAAGGGTGGGGGAAGAATTTTTCCTTCCCTTCACAGGCACCAAATAAATAAAGAGGATGGATGCTAGGCTGGGTCTTCTGTGACTAAGCATCAATCTTTCCTCATTACAGTGTCTTTTAAAGTATCGATGTTGGCCAACAAAACCTGCACTGAAACAAATGGCTGTGAGTGGCCTATTGAGAACTGTGACTTTTGTTGTTGTTAAAGTTAGGATAGTATTAAAGGAAAGGACAAATCCTGAAAAAACGAACTACACTTTTTCCCCTGAAAAGTGCATCCAAGGCTGGTGCATCTCAAGCTCATTGCCCTGCTGGTCTGGAGAAAGGCGTACACCTTAGAAGAGCTTTTGGGCCAGCTATACTAGATATGCAGGAGAGGTCTGTCCAGCCTGAGAAGGAAACAAATATTAGCAAAGGTCTGATGAGGAGAGTAAATGGGTGGTGTCTTTTAAAGAGTTTGTTTCAGAAAAAGCCTCCAGGCAAAGGAGAGCAAACTCCACCACCAGATGTCCTAGGGGACACCCAGCACAAGCATAAAATTTGCCTCAAGTCTCTCTTACTGTTGAGGTGTTATAAATGATTTGAAGTGTGTATTCCAGTCTTAATAAACTGTGCATGTCTTAATATAAAAGCAGTACGTTCCCACTCATCTTCACATAAAGTTGATGCTTCAGGAATAATAATTGTTAAAGTTTACTGAGTATCTACTATGTACCAGACACTGTTCTATGTGAGTGACAGCTTCACAACAGCTTTATGAGGTGGATCATTATCATACACATTTTAAAAATATGTAAATTAAGGCAAGGAGAAATAAAGTTAAAGAGTTAAGTGGCAGAGTCAGGATGTGAACTGACACAAAGTCTGATTTCAAAGCCTGGGGTCCTCCTCAAATTTTGTCTGATGCTCCAAGTCTCAGGACAATGGATAAACAAAGGAGCTCTAATATGCTTCCAAAGTGAAAACTTTGTGAGTGAAAACTCACACAGACTAATCTCTAACATTTTCTAGATTTTCTCCCATAATACCATAAAGCAGAACACCCATCCTTAGAATCACTGTCACATGCTGCATAAAATCTAAACTCAAGGTCAATTACCAAACAACTTCCCAATGCAAACCAAGGTTATTTTTTCAAAAGACACTCAGCAGCCTAAGGTCAAAACACTAATCGGGACATCCATCTGATTGAATTTTTATATTAAATTACTTTCAGAGGCTACATCAAACCCAGGATGAGGAGCCAAACTATCCACACATCATTCATCAATATCAGCACATCAACAGTTTAAAGGCAGTATAAATACAAGTGACCAAGAGCTTGATTTTACTTCACTTAAAATAATTTCAACCTTTCACAAAAACTAACTCAAAATGGATCTGTTGTGCCCGAATCGTGAGTCCCAGAGACCTCCAAGGAGCTGGCACTGATGCAAATACAAAAGGGTCTTTATTACAAGCTCGAGCAGGGGCTCACCAGCCTACCGGTGTCGTGGCAGTAAGGTGAAGCGAAGAACAATAGCGAACAGGGTTTTTAAGGAGTAAGGGATGGGGGCGTTACAGTACGCATAGCATCATCACATAAGCACCAATTACAATTACAGCTTTGACCATTCAGTATCTGTGAGGTGTTCATTACTTTTGGTGGGACCCAATCATGACTTTTGAGAATCCTTTGAAAATGACCAGTTATGAGGTGAGTTCAAAGGGCCCATGTGGGGTTCAGGAAAGTGGTGAGAAATTGGCTAGTTTGTATCTGCAGTTCCCAGCCTTGACTCAGACCATAGGAGTGTTTCTTTTTTCTTTTTGATTAGCTGAACTGAGGGCGGTCCGAGGATGGCTTTAGCCTTGAACAATCTGAGGCTTTTCCTGGAACTGGGACTGGGGCTACGTGCAGCCCGAGGTTGCTCTTAATGGAGGACTTAATTTTAGGCTCTTCAGATCATGGGCTTAAGACTTAAAATAAGATTTTAGGAAAAAAAGAAAAAAGCAGGAGAAAAATCTTCGGGATTCACGGTTAGGCATAAAGTTCTTAAACTTGGCTCCAAAAGCACAATCTATAAAAATAAAAATTGATAAACTGGACCTCAACGAAACTAAAAATTTTTGCTCTGTGAAAGACCCCATTATGAGTATGAAAAGACAAGCTATAGACTGAGAGAAAATATTTCCTACTCACATGCCGAACATGGGACGAGTATCTAAAAATCTATGAAGAATTGTCAAAACTCAGTATTTTAAAAAATAATAATTAGAAAATGGGAAGAAACATGAACACACCTTTCCCTGAAGAGGATATACAGATGGCAAATAAGTACACCAAAAGATTTCAACCACATCAGCCACCGGGGAAATGTCAATTAAAATAATGGTAAATACCACTATCATTATGACTGAAATAAAATTAGTGGTACCAAATTCTGGAGAGGATAATGGAGAACCAGGCTACTCTTGAGGTGCTGGTGAGATTATGAAATGGTACAGTCACTCTGGAAAACAGTCTGGTAGCTTCTTTAAAAAATCTAAACATACTCTTGACCATATGTTCCACCAATTGTGCTCCTTGGTATTTACTAGGAGTTGAAAACTTATGTCAACACAAACACCTGCACACAGGTGTCCATAGCAGCTTTATTCATAATTTCCAAAACTTGGAAGCAATCAAGATATGCTTCAGTGGGTGAAGGAATAAATGAACTGCAGTACAGTCAGACAATGGCATGTTACTCAATGCTAAAAAGGAAGAGCTACTGAGCCATGAAGACACAAAGGAACCTTAAATGTATACTATTAAGTATATAAAAAAAAGTCAATCTGAAAGGCTATATACTGTATGATTCCAACTATATGACATTCTAGAAAAAGTAAAGCTATGGAGACAATATAAAGATCAGTGGTTGCCACAGGTTGGGGTGGAGGGAAGGGATGAATAGGGGAGCATCCCTATTTAGGGCAGTGAAAATACTCTGTATGATCCTATAATGGTAGATACGTATCATTATATCTTTGCCCAAACCCAGAGAACGTACGCCACCAAGTGTGAACCCTGGTGTGAACTATGGACTTGGGATAATAATGATGTGTCAACCTAGGTTCATCAGTTGTAGCAAATGTACCACTCTGGTGGGGGGGGTGTTGATAATGCAGGGAAGGGCTGTGCATGTGCAAGGGGTAGGAAGTTTGTACACAGGAAATCTCTGTACTTTCTGATCAGTTTTGCTGTGAACCTAAAACCTATTTTGCTCTAAAATAAAAAATCTTTAAAACAAAGTAAGAAACTAAATATGCAACTAACTACATGACCTAGTAATTACACACCTGGTCATTTATTCCAACAAAATGAAGACTTACATTTACACAAAAACCTGTACATGAAAGTTCACAGGTTTATTGATAATACCCCAAAACTGGAAATAACCCAGATGTCCTTCAATAGACGAATGGTTGTACTGTGGTACAGCCGTACTGTACTGGAAAACTACTCAGCAATAAGGAAAGAACTAATGACACAGACAATAACTTGGTTAGCTCTTAGGTAATTATGCTAAGAGAAAAAAGCCAGTCTCAGAGGGTTACATTGTATGGTTCCACTCTTAAAATGACAAAATTAGAGAGATGGGGAAGAGATAAGAGGTTGCCAGCGTTAGGGAGGGCTCCTCCCACTTGGTGGGTAAGGTTAAAAGGCCAACACAAGGGATCCTTGTGACCACGGAACTGGTGAGAGCAACACTAACTTACATATGTGATAAAACTAGTACAGAACTGGGGTGCCGGGGTGGCTCAGTCGGTTAAGTGTCAACTTCGGCTCAGGTCATGATCTGACGGTTTATGGGTCTGAACCCCACT